TATAATCTTGGGCCCGGGCCCTGCCACGTGTCGCAGCTGCCGGATGATTTCCGTGCGGACCACCTGTTCCCAGGCACTCATGCGTTTCCAAAGCCGTCACCCTTTCAGGCAGCGCCTTCCAGCCTTGGACTCCTTCCAAGCGCAAACGTGGTGCGTGTGCGCGCGCGCCGGAGCAAAATCCCTCCAGGCGTTGTAATGGAATTAAACGATTCACGCGAAAGAGCATGGCCGTGTGCGCGCAGGAAATCGGGGAACAGGGAGGATGTTTACCTGCGGGGACGCATGCGTCCTTCTCAAAGGCACGCGTGCCACCTGGGCACCCCACTCTGCCCCACTGCTCCAGCTCTCACCTCGCCTTTCCCCTCACCTTCCCAGCACTGGCAAGGAAGCTTCTTCCTCTATTGAGCTTTAATTTCAGGTCTGAGCTGTGCTGCGCCGTGAAGTCGCCGTCAGCGGTTAACTGCTCTCGCGCACCATGTCCCTTAGTGCATCGGTCATGCTGCGTGCTCACACCAGGCTCCCCAGGAGCAGCTGATTCATAAATAGGCAGGGAAGAAGGTGGAAGCCGAGCATCAGGAGCCGGCGTTTTGGGACAGATGGCGAAGGCTTGGCGCCTCTGCACGCAGGTCGGGGCTTGTGGCACTAGGGCAGGAGCCGCAGCTGCTGCCGAGGTGCCTGGAGGGGCTGTCGCTTCCAGGGAGCAGCCAAAGGCTTTCAGATAGCGTCCCCGCCGCACGTGTCCCAGCCTTGCCAGTTCACGTGTCGTGTCCTGGCCCAAATCGGCGCCCAAGCCGAGTCTCAAGGATGCGGGTCCTCTGCCTGACCCCCATCAGCAGGACGGAGCCTGCAGGGCGTGGGTCCCCGCTGCTCACATAGGCACGTAGCACCCACCAGCCTGGCGGGGACCGGCTGGGGTGGTTGCATGCAGGGCCCCGGTAGCAGTGGCTTGCTTCGCCTGCCCGGTGCAATGGCTGCTCTCGGCCAGGCGAGAGCAAAAAGCCTCCCTGCCGCCTGCATCCTCACTTGGCAGCATCAGCTCAGCAGGTGTTCCTCCAGGGAAACCCATCTCCTCTGGGTGCCCCAGGGATGGGCAAAGATGAGCTGCATGGAGCAGATGGCCCCTGACGGCCGATCAAACAGAGCCAGCCCAGGCGCCGTGGCAGAGGCTGCAGGTGCCGGGTTGCCAGGGGAAGGTCAGGCTGCACGGCGGGCGCTCACCCGGGAAGGGATGCTGGGGGGGCGGATGTGCCGCTCTGTTCTTTACCCGTGGCCTGAAATGGTGCCCTAGGCGACAAGCCAGCGTGGGGTCGTGGGAGACCTGTCCCCCAGCAGGGCGGTGGGACTGGGGCCAGGGGTGCCCAGGATGTGCTGCCTGTGGCCAGCCCCAGCGACAGCTCCAGCACGATCGGCATGAGCACATTATCCACCTTCCTCTCCCCTCTGACTGTGCGGATTAAGTGCCGAAGCCCTGGCACACTGCTGGCTGGGGCAGTGCTGACAAAGTGGCCCCCCCGGGTCTGAGAGTCAGAGCTCACCTCCCAGCTCTGCTGCCCAGCATGGCTGGGAGCCCCATGGAGCCCTGTGGAGCCCCGCTCCTGCTCCAGCAACCCCCACTGCACTCCTTGCAGGGCGGAGGGGGCCGCAGACAGGGTTCAGCTGGGGGCAGGATCCAGCCAGCCCGCTCCCGGCCCCGCTGGCGGGATGTCTGCTAAACCCTGCCTGTGAGCTGGTAATCCACAGCACCGGCAGGAATGAAGTGAGAGCAGAGCTCAGCGTATGGATGGCCGATTAGCAGACCCAGCAACCCATGGTGGCTCATGTACCTTCGATCCTTCCGAGCAGCTTTGCAAGCACGTTAGGTTTTCTGGCAAGGGGAGCCCAGGCACCCCGTCTTGCTGCCACTCTCTTCAGCCCCACAACACCCTGCCAGGCGCTCGCCCAATCCTGCCTATGGATTCTGGCACCAAGTGCAGGGGCTGAGGCCAGGCTGTGCTGCGAGAAGCGCTCGCACTCTGTTTGCACGGCACCCAACAACGTTTGCTCTCTGCGCAATGCCCTGATGTCGCCAACTCCCACTCCGCCACTGTGTTCTCTCACACAGTGTCTCCGAGCCATCCCTGGGCATGGCAAAAGAGGGCCCCCGCTCAGCTCGGGGCTCGGCACCGCTGCACGGTGTCCCTCCTGCCTCCTGGGCCCCCCTCCCCAGATGCAAGAGGCACCAGGGCAGCCTCCCTCCCCTGCCTCTGCCCGTCCCTCTGCTGCTGCCAGGGCAAAGGGCCCTTTGCGGCCACATAGGGTGGGCTGAGCCCCGCCAGCCCCAGGGCAGCAGCATGCGGGGCTATGCCAGGGAGCCCGAGCCCACAAGCGGCTGCCCGTGCCGGGGGGCTGGCACCAAGCCCTGCGGCTGGACTTGGGCGAGCAGGGCATGCCCTGGCCCTAGTTGGGAGGGCAGAGAGAGGCTTGCCACCCAGATAGGGACCCAGAGCCGTGGCTCCCCGGGAGGCAGGCAGTGTGGTGGCCACTGCGTGCCAGGCATGGGGATGGGGCAAGCGTTGCTCACCTGCGGTGCCAGGCAGAGCCGGGCGGGCAGCGCAGCAGAGTCTCCTGCTGCAGTCCTGAGCCTCCCTGTCTCTCTTCCTTCTCCAGCTGAATATCCTGGTGGATACCGGGAGCAGTAACTTTGCTGTGGGAGCTGCGCCTCACCCCTTCCTCCGGCGATACTACCAGCGGCAGCTGTGAGTATGCTATGCTGGGGGGACAGAGAGAGCGCAGCCACCGCTCCGTGTGCCCGTGATGCAGCCCCGGCCCCACAGAGGCATGCTGTCCCTTCTCGCTGGGGCTCCAGCCAGACCCTGCTGGGCACCGCCAGCCTCTGGGCCAGCTGGGTCCGCACCACCCTTCCTGTGCCCGGAGAAGGAGGGACCCCTCGGCTGCCTGTCTGCCCTCCCGCAACATTTAGGATGGTGTCTGGGCGGCTGGCTGTTGCACACAGCAAAGAGCCACCGGGCTTGTCCCCTGCACACCCTGTGACAGCCTTGGCCCAGGCTGCAAGGAGCCGTCCTGGCACTTCATTGAGCTGCGTGCGGTGGGGCTCCCCAACAGCCCCACTTGCGGAGACACACGCTGCCCTCACCCAGGCATGCTGGCCTGCAGGAC